TGCATACACTGAACATCAGTTCTTCATACCGTGGGTATTAAATCTCAATGTTAAACACAAAAATGGAATCTTAAACTATTTGAAGATTACATTATTTCTAATAATTAAGTGTTGGTTATTTTAGTGTTACAATGTCATTTTAAGTAACTGGAACTAACATGTGAGCTAATGGGCTTCATAATTTGTACTCTAATATATGTACGGGGTTGTGCGTAGTGCACACATGTATATCATCGAATTAGAAGCCGGTTCAACGACTAGTCAGGGGTCCGGGGCAGCGCCCCTGGGTCCGGGGTTTCCAAAGGGGCAACGCCCCTAGCAGGGTCCAAGGCAACTAATGACTTGCTTCCTTTTCAGAAGAGGGTGATTATGGTAAAACTAACGAAATTTGTTAGTTTTGGTAACCATAAATCTTCATTAAATCCGGATTATCATGACTTGCTTCCAAAACAACAAATGATGGCCCAACCATAAGAAACCCTAATCTTGTTTAATATATAAATACTTCTTCTTTTTCTTTAGAAGAGGGTTACAATCTTAAACTCTCGTTTTCATCATACTTTCACAGAATCTTCCAGCATATTGACTTACGATTTATGTGCCTAGAATCGTAAGTGATATCACGATCCAAGTTGGTATCCAAATCTGCACCGCAAACCCTAATATTCCCTACATTAACCGCTTGATAAAGCCCGGATTAGATATTAAAAACCTTCCGAATTATGTTTTAACATTAAAGGTATATATCTAATAGCTACTAAAAATACAACAAAAATCTATTTGATGGTTGTTTAAGTTTAAAAGAATATTAGAGACCAAAAACACAAATTACCTCAAACTATAGGGACCATTTGTGTTCTGGTACTAAAATTTGTTATCTTAATCTTTATTTTTTATTGAACCCTCTTTTATATATATATATATATATATATATATATATATATATATATATATATATATATATATATATATATAGGTTCAGGTTCATTTGAGACTATTCTAATTTTATGAGACCGTAACACCAATTCTAAAAATAATTTTAAAATGGAAAATAAATGGAAAAATCCAAAATTTCTTTTTTTAAATATTATTTTCGGAACTTGAATTAACTAACAAAAAATCCCGTTTTTTTTTTTTTCTTTTTTAAATACGTGAAATATTCTAATAAAATATTATACTGTACATATTCTAAAAAATAATTTTAAAATGGAAAAATTTAAAAATTCTTTTTTTAAATATAATTTTGGGAACTCGAATTAATTAAAAAAAATCCTTTTTTTTTTAAATACGTGAAATATTCTAATAGAATATTACACTGTACATATTGTAAAAAATAATTTTAAAATGCAAAATAAATGGAAAAATCCAAAAATTCTTTTTTTAGATATTATTTTCGGAACTTGAATTAACTAAAATAAATAAATAAAAAAAATGCGTCTCACGGTACCACAAAATTAGGTCATCTCACATTAACCTAGCTCTATATATATATATATATATATATATATATATATATATATATATATATATATATATATACACTCAGGTTCATTTGAGACTATTCTAATTTTTTGAGACCGTAAGACCAAATTTAAAAATAAATTTAAAATGCAAAATAAATGGAAAAATCCAAAATTTCTTTTTTTAAATATTATTTTCGGAATTTTTTTTTTTTTTTTTTTTAAATACGTGAAATATTCTAATAAAATATTATACTGTACATATTCTAAAAAATAATTTTAAAATGCAAAATAAATGGAAAAATCTAAAAATTCTTTTTTTAAATATAGTTTTGGGAACTTGAATTAACTAAAAAAAAAATAAAAAAATACTGTTTTTTTTTTTTTTTTTTTTTTTTTTTTTTTTTTTAAATACGTGAAATATTCTAATAGAATATTACACTGTACATATTGTAAAAAATAATTTTGAAATGCAAAATAAATGGAAAAATCCAAAAATTCTTTTTTAGATATTATTTTTGGAGCTTGAATTAACTAAAATAAATAAATAAAAAATTAAAAAAATGGGTCTCACGGTACCACAAAATTAGGTCGTCTCACATTAACCTATATATATATATATATATATATATATATATATATATATATATATATATATATATATATATATATATATATATATATATATAGGTTGATTTGAGATTATTCTAATTTTATGAGACCGTAAGATCAAATCTAAAAATAATTTTAAAATGCAAAATAAATGGAAAAATCCAAAATTTCTTTTTTTAAATATTATTTTCGGAACTTGAATTAACTAAAAAAAACAAAAAAAATCCCTTTTTTTTTTTTAAATACGTTAAATATTCTAATAAAATATTACACTGTAGATATTCTAAAAATAACTTTAAAATGCAAAATAAATGGAAAAATCTAAAATTTTTTTTTAAATATAATTTTGAGAACTTGAATTAACTAAAAAAATCTCGTTTTTATTTTTTTTTTATTTTTTATTTTTTATTTTTTAAATACGTGAAGTATTCTAATTGAATATTACACTGTACATATTGTAAACATTAATTTTAAAATGCAAAATAAATGGAAAAATCTAAAAATTCTTTTTTTAGATATTACTTTCGGAACTTGAATTAACTAAAAAAAATAAAAATAAATAAAAAAATGTGTCTCACGGTCTCACAAAATTAGGTCGTCTCACATTAACCTAACCTTATATATATATATATATATATATATATATATATATATATATATATATATATATATATATATATATATATATATATATATATATATATATATATATGGGAGGGTTCAATTGAAAAAAAAAAGGTTGAGAATGAGGGAATCATTCTTAGCCAATCATTTATTTTTAGCGCAAAAGGCTCCAACGTACCGGTGTAAATGAGAAACGAATGCACATGTGTTTTCCAACATAACATATTTCCTTAAACTATGCTAATCATTACCTTAATATATACAAAAACATAGTTTTTTTTTTTTTTTTTCGTTTTTTTTTTAATTTTTATAAGCTATTTTTATCAAAAAATGATTTTAAATATACCAAAATTCTTGACTTTTTATTCTTTACAAATAGAAATCCATATTGATATAGTTTTAAGATAAAATATTTTTTTTTTATATTTTCAGCTGTCGTTATTGATAAATGAATAATAATGCATCAGATTTTATTACAGTACATTTGTTATTATGAATAAAAGGTATGATTTTTTTTTTAATTTTTTATTTTTACAATTTAAGTATCATTCATATATGAAAATAACATATAATAAATATATATTCATATTTTAATATTGGACGATGAATTCACTTGTGAATATTAGATGATATATTCACTTATGAGTATTAAATGATATTTCATATCTAAATATTACATACTATTACATGGTATATTACATGTGAATATTACAGAGTATATTCACTTGTGAATATTAGATGATATATTTACTTATGAATATTACACAATATATTCACATATGAATATTACAAGTTATATTCACTTATGAATATTGAAGGTATTTTGACAAATATATATAATTTTTATATGTTATTCACGTATAAATAACATACAGACTTGCATATTTGTTTTGTGTTTTTAATAATCATATACTGATTCAGGTGAGAAAACATATTTATATGTGAATATAACGTGGTAATTTAGTTTATGCATTTCATCAAACAATTGAAGTGCAAACAAGTTAACTATTTTAAAAATGTTAAAAGCATCAAGTTATCAATTCCAAATCATCATATACTTCTGATTTCGACTTCAGATGCGACATCCTATCTCTGATCGATTTCTCAATTTGATTTTGATTTCTGAAAATCCGATTGGGAACCTGTGAGTACCGATTCTAAGTCCATCAATGTCGAATGTGATTGCGAGTCCAGAACTCCGATTCCAATTTCATGAACATCGAATAAAATCCTGTTTAGTTGAAGAAATCTGGATGATTATTGAAAGTTGAAGGAAAATTTTTGATGATGAACGAATAGTTATCGAATTCTTTATAGTTACGTATTTGAGATTAAAGGTTATTACGATATTTACAAGTTTGCCACCATTCGATTAGGTTAATTGGAATTTACATAGCTTGTAGGCCGATACACACTACTACCAAATGTTCACACATTTGGTAGTAGTATGTATCGGCTATAAGCTATGTAAATTCCAATTAACCTAGTCGTACGAGTTGTTAAATTTGTTTTTGAAATGAATTATTTTATTAACATGCTAAGTGAAATCTAACTTTTCAATTTAATATACCCGTTCATATGTTTTTTAACGATTTTTTCACAAGGATTCAAACCATCTGTTTGGTTCGGTTTCGTTTCGATCTAAAAAATGATATAATATAGAAAATTTTCAAACCAATTAACTGTTCAAACTTTCCTATCGTACATATTTCAATATTTTTACAAGTTAATGTTATTCTCGCACAAAAATATTCCATTTAATCATTACCCATACATTATTTTAAACCAGAAATCTAAAAGACCACCGTCATACACCACCATATCACTCTCTTAACCGCTTGTAGATTTACGAGTTCCAGGAGTACTGTCCCTTTCTTAGACAGATGTCTCAAGAGGGGGTGGCAGAAAGACACAGAGAAATCCAGGGGGAGGAGCTCCTCTCAACATTCAGTCACAAACTGAAGTGATCTTATAAATATAATCCGCTAGCTTTAGTTATTTCTCCCCATACTCACTGTACTTCACCCCACCCCCATCTGTAGATAATCTTTTGTGTTGGTGCTTGAGCTGTAGTTTGCGCTGGTTCTCTGTTTATTAGTTATATATATATATTTCTGTCTTCTTTGTCGGTGCTACCAGATGTATGTATCATACACTCACACCACAATCTCAACCCCCTCATTTCTCTTGTTTTTCTTTTAATCTTTCTTCTTCTTCTTCTTCTTCTTCTTCTTCTTCTTCTTCTTCTTCTTCACAAGTCCAATATATTCATCTCTCTCTCTCTCTCTCTCTCTCTCTCTCTCTGTTTGTCTTTCTCTCTCAATTCTCGTTTTTACATGGTTTTCAGGAGCAACCCGCTAGACCTAAACAACTTACCAGAGGATAATATCTCCAGAGATCATGACAAACAACCCCTTGATGACTCCTCCCCTTCTTCAGGTGGTAGTTAGTTAACCTCTCTCTCTCTCTCTCTCTCTCTCTCTCTCTCTCTCTCTCTCCTGTGATATATAATTTATTTTGTGTTAAAGACTTCTTTCATGCAATGAGGTGGATTTTTAAAACCTATGCAACATCTTTCAAACTTTGGTTACTAAGTTTGTAACATATTTGTTACAAAAACATAATTGCATAAATTTAAACGCATCCACTCAGTTGGATAAATTGGTAGCAATATATATCTTCCTTACACATAATGAAGTCACAAAATCTATAATCTATTTTTTCGTATGAAGTATTAAATATAAAACTTTAACCTTCATTTAGAAAATATCTTTAAAGGTATTTATATAGTTCATTAAGGGTAAAATTATAACATCTTATTCGTATAAAGGAAGTGGATATAACTTTAATGAGTTCTGTAAATCAATTAAGGGATTAAAAATAATCGGTACTATTTTGTTTTCGTTACTTTACTCTTTAAAGAAAATTTACAAAAGTTTGATAGCTTTGAGAAGCAAACCCTAGAAAATATTGTGGGCTTAACAAGCGGTAGTCTGGCTAGTCAAACAGATAATTTTGAGAGCCAGTGTTTGTCATTAATTTTCTTCTGTGAAAAGTAACAGTATAATTACCCCACCCATAAAACAAAGAAAAGCTTATCAATGGCACACCTACGTTCAAGACTTTGTGTTATCATAATTTATTTATTATATAAGTTTTTTTTCTGTTTGAATGCATGTAGCAACAATACAAACAAATGTTACCAAAATAAATTAAAGAAAACCAAAGAATATATGAGAAGTCCCATCACTCATCAGTATTGCTTTGTATGAATTGAAATATATAGGAAGCTACAGAAAAAAGAAAAACGGCGCAAAGGATGAAAGTAGGAAGGTCTACGAGTGTAGGTTTTGCTCCCTTAAGTTCTGCAAATCTCAAGCCCTTGGGGGACACATGAACCGCCATCGCCAAGGTCTCTCTCTCTCTCTCTCTCTATATATATATATATATATATATATATATATATATATATATATATATATATATGTGTGTGTGTGTGTATGTGTATGTGCTAGAGTGACTGAATTAACCTGATAATGATTTGAGGTAAAATGCAGGTGTTTAGACTTAAAAAAAAATATCCACATCAGGAGCCAAGTTAAATTCTTTACACTTAGTGCTGAAATTGTTGTACGAATATCTTATCAATCTAATAATGCTATTAAATGCATTTTATACGCTTACTGATTATAAAACAATTTTGTTATCGTAAAAGGGCATCAATTACAATAAATTAATGACACATAACATCTTAATTAGAATCTTAACCAACAATGATGTATTGTGGAGCAGGACCTATCCTTATTGTTGTGTAACGTTACATTGCTAATTCGTCTTTAATTTACGGTGTTTATTATATTTAATGGTATGTATAATATGTTCACCCATAAGATTTTTTGTTATGTTATATTTACTTTTTAAAATGTAGAGTAGTGTCGCATGAAAAATAATTTAAAACCATATTTGTGATCTCAGAGAGGGAGACTGAGACGCTAAATAGGGCTCGTCAATTGGTTTTTGGTAACGATAATCTCTACCAACGTGGGTATGTTTCCTCATTTTTCTTTCTTTCTTGAATAAATAAATAAATATATTTAATTCCCAGTTCCGGGAAAATGTTCGGCCTGAATTGTAATATGTTTTTTATAACCAAATGGGTATTGGCATATAGCGAGCCTATAGTTAATTTATTAATTAAAAAGGACAGACTACATGTACCAATACACATTAACTTTAAAGGATGATCACTAGAGTGTACACGCTAGTGTTATAGATTTATAACATGAAATACAAGAAAATTTTAGACCTCGAACCCCTAATGGATTATGTAGGACATATTACAACATTTTCTTTATGTAAACTTAAGAAAAAGGATATTATATAAGTACAATAATTATGTCGTTTTCTTGGACAATAATATGGTACATGTTTTTTTGTGTACTTTTGAGTCTAACTATAATTGACAAGTCATGTTGATATCGAACTGTAGTAGCCAATCAACGGTGAATGGAGGCTATCATCATCAAGGAACAAGTTGCAACATGGGGAGTGGTCTTTACCCTACTAGACTCTTTTCCGGTGCTTCCACAGCCGTGCTACCACCAGTGCCACCGCAGCAACACTTGTACACGTCACCACCGTCACGCCTCAGTAGCTACTCATCACAACATTCTAAGTCCCAGTCAGGAAATAAAGACTATTTTCTAGGACACGTTTGCGCTAACAACCCACAATTCATCTTCCAGAATTTGAGCTACATTGCGACACCACCCCCCGATGGTAGTAATAATTACACATGCATTGGCGCACCTGTTGGACAAGCATTCACCATCACCGGAGGAAGTGGTGGTGGTGGAGACATGTCAGCGACTCCGATCAATAGATATCATAAGGATGGAGTCTGAATTGAAACCTTTTATTTCAAATTGTTATTATTATGATAAGCAAAACTCGTCCTTTTTCTGTATGTTTTTTTCTGGGGTGAATGTGAAAAGTGGTAATGGGACAAGAGAGTGCGAAAAGGAGAGAAGTAGTTTGTTGGCTTTTTGTTCAAGAGGTCGTTAGGGTTTAATGTAGTGGGGTGTGAGTGTGACAGGCTTCATACAGACTGAAAACTGGAAGAAGGTAGTGTAACTAGGGTACCTGCATGTGGAACACACAAGTTAGATTTCAACTGGAAGTTCCCAACAACTTTTTGGATTTGAATTTATTTCTCTTTCATGGGGATTGAGTTCCATTTTTCTGGTTGCTTTTTATCGTTATAAATTAATCGTTTAAATATTATCAAGGTACGTAAATACTTCATAATTCATCACTGTGCATGTTCAGTCGATATTATCATTTTCAACATTGTTTTTCTGTGTATACTGTTTGAACGAATATTTCGCTGAAAGGTAAGCCGTCAGTGTGGTACAAGCAAGAGATTGATTAAATATCGTATTCATCAAAAGTCATTAACATGTGTTAAGTACAATATTCATGATCACTAGAAAAAAAAAATTATTTTAACATGCCTTGAGAAATTATAAGTTTTCACGACTTAGAAAGTTCCGGTTTATAGTTAAACCGTTGTCTCTATTATCATTAAAATAATGAATTAGAAATAACAGATTTGGGCTAGATATTTGTTTGGTCCCTTATTAGATCATGTTTTAGATATTTAATAAATGTTTAAAATATAGAGTAAATTGAACATTGATTTTATAAAAAGATTAAAGGACTACTAGTTGGGTTATAATTTCCAAAATATTAAATTTGAAAGAAGTAGTACTACGATTTGCAAAACTTTTAAATAGGAAGTACCATTGCACTATACAAGAGAGTGGTCAGAAGTTCTATTCACAACGACAGACTGTAATTAAGAAAATAGTTAAAAACTAAGAGATGTCTCTTTTTTCTTTTTGATTCGTGTGCTCACAACAGTAAGTAGAACACAAGATGCTTTTATCGAAGATTCCAGAGGAGACATGGTTTTGTAGTATCCTGGTTAATCTTCGATCTTTGAAGTACTGGAGTACATAACATAAGTATCCTACTTAAACACGATCTCATAAGTTTATTTATTTATTTATTTATTTGTATATGATAGATAATTCAACCAATTTCACACACAAAAGTCATACGATTTTGAGTGGAAATCGAAACGGGAAAACCATAAAGACCCATTTTGACAGGAGAGGGTTACAATGGCTTATGATCGATAGAGGGGGGAGGGGTTAAAATTTTTTTTTGGATCAAATGTCTTATGATAATGGTAATTACCAACACATAAGGACCTTCTACTAACATATGACATGCATGTTTATATATATATATATATATATATATATATATATATATATATATATATATATATATATATATATATATATATATATATATATATATGTATATATATATACACACACACACAAGATATGCTGACATTAGCGGCCACACAAAACATAAGGGTTGTCGTCGGTAGATGTATTAGCAGCGACCTATTGCTGCAAAAACGTGGTCGCAAATACTATATCGCCATTGTTTTGTCGCTGCAAAAAGAATTTTTACTTTATTTTTTTGTTTATTTAATATTAAAATTATAGAAAATAATATAACATTTATAAAATCTGGTACAAATTTATAGAAATATTAATACATACACAACCAATCTGAAATATTAATCAACAATCCAAAATATTAATCCATACAACCTAAAGTATTCTTCGAAAAAAAATTCATAAAATCATTACGTAGTTACTCGTTCTCATCACCCTATCATTTCCTTCATTATTATTTGGTAGTGACAATGAGCGAAACCATTCTTCCAATACTGCAGAACAGGTCGGTTCATTTAATATCGTTTGCAATATTTCCAACTATAAAGAAAATAAAATATATTACCAACATATAATAATAGCTTTATATTTTCCAAAAATTACCAAAATAAAAAATATCAACATATCTCACTATAACTAACATATCGTTATAACATTCTACTTTTGAAATACTTAAACATAAATCATTGTACTTTCCAACAAATACCAAACTACACAATATCAACGTATCAAATCATAACCAACATATCATTATAGCATTGTACTTTCCAAAAATTACCAAACTACAAATTATCAACATATCAAACCATAACCAACATATCACTATAACATTCTACTTTCCAAAAATTACCAAACTACAAAATATCAACATATCAAACCATAACCAACATATCATTATAGCATTCTACTTTCCAAAATTACCAAACTACAAAATATCAACATATCAAACCATAACCGATATATCATTATATCATTCTATTTTCCAAAAATTACCAAACTATAAAATATCAACATATCAAACCATAACCAACATATCATTATAGCATTCTACTTTCCATTATATCATTGTATTATATACTAAACAAACAATTACTTGTGATTATGGTGGTTCTTGTGTCATCAGTTGTTCATGATCGCACATAAACATAATGGTAGGAGGTTTACGCCCAATTCCTTTGACATGTCTGCGTCGAAAACCCAATATTCTTTCAAAACATTTTCTTATATCACTTGGTGTTAAACCGCTTGATGCAGAAGAAGCTTGGGTTTGTTGATTAATCTCATGGAGTAAAGCATTCTATATTTTCAAAAAATAATAAACATCATAAACATAAGATTACTAAATACCATTAACGATATAAACACTTATATGAAAATACAAATTAACCACTTATGTATTGTTGCTCGACTGCAGGACTATAAAATACCCCTTGGCGAATGAATTAGCCTTATGGAATGCTTCGATTCGAGTGATATCCTATTTATCATTAAAAATTAGATTAATTATAATTTAAATAAGCATTTAAATATATCATAACTTACTTCTTTGAAACATGCATTGTTGTACGAGCTCGACCCCCCCCCCCCCTTATGTTTACAACTAGTTGTTTCGCACGAACTTTTGTGTTTGACGCCGAACGCCTTCAAAATTCGGGCGTTTGAAAACGTTCAACCGTCTTCACCCAATTTTCGGGTGACATACCCTTTGGGGGTTCTTTAATGCCAATGAGATATTTGCAGGTCCCCCGATAAGCTTAAGATAAGAATGGGCTTTACTTTTTCGGCCTTTGTAAACTTTTGCAAAACTCGAATGAATGCTCTGCAACAATTGAGCACGCTCCGGATCCAAGTTAACCTTATTCAAATCAAACTTATTCTAAAAATACAAAAAAGTTAGTTAATTAAATAACAATCACAACTAAACTTAAAATATTATCCAAGTTACCTTTAGATGCACAATCGTTGCATTCCTTAACGAGGCGGAAACTGTTGGGTTTTGAGCATTCTAACACTCCTAAGTGTACATGCAACCGTAAATACCTTGGATATATGTTTTCTCTATTGTACATGCAATTATGAACATCCAAGGTATTATCCAAATCTAGCATACAAAATAATGAATATAACAAGATAGAATACATACCTCTTTGATGTAGAATGTCTTCATGAAGCTTGAGTGCCTAGTGCGTCAAGTGTGACACCTCAAATGGTTCACACAACACCAAATACTCTTGAATAACTTGAGAGAATTCTACAACTTGTGAAATCGGCTAGCCCTTCTTTTTCACACACTAGTGGCCCATTTTGGTGAATAATATGATGCTTATATAGTGTGTTACAATTAGGGTTACACCATGTAAGCCCTAATTGTCATGACCTTTCATTTCCATGACCCATGGGTTATGTAACCTCCATGGAGTATCCTATGGGTTCAACCCAACTAGATAATCCATGGAGCATTAGCCCACTATATAAGTATGGATGATTTACACAATCAACCCATATATTTTATTAGTCTTCTTTTGATCGCATAATTAATTCTAAATTAATTCTTGATCAATACTAATTAAATATTATTATTCTTATTATTAATATACTAGAACTTATGATATATTAATAACCATAAGTGTCTTATTTCTCTCACTTAGTCTATCCAAGTGCATGATGCCATGCAACCCAAATGGACCATGTCGGGTCGGGTTAAGTCTTACCAATTATAGTTATGGACTTAGACATTAATCCAACAGTCTCCCACTTGGATAAGTCTAAAACTATTATTGTGAATGACTTCAAGAACCGACCGGCAATCGTAGCTCTCAAAAGCTTCTGTCGAACTCTAACCTTGCCGATGATCTCTGACCTTTGTCAACGACTTGTCCATTAGATAAGTGATCATATATTCCTCCATTCTAGATATCTTATTGACTGAGACATGGACTATAATCATTCTCTCTGTCCATTTGTTGTTTCCCGATTTTCGATTTATGACGACTGACTAATTGAACAAATCAAACCAGTCCTAGCCTGGCCGAGCACTTCCGTTTTTCATCATTAAATCATCGAGGGGCCCACATATATCGCTTTTATCCTGAAGGTAAAAGGAATGGATAAGCTTCGACTCATATGGCTTGTTCTACTACTTGTTGAATCATACACAAAGGCACGTTTTATAACACCGTGTTACCGAATGCGTTTTCGTGCAATCAATGTACAACCAACTCATAGTAACAACTCATATCTCTAGGTTTGAAGAATATAAGATATTATCATCTCATGATCACTCGTGATAAAATCCATGAAGTGATTCCAATGAGCACGGGTTGAATATAGTACTAATAACTTATGAGCACTCATGAGTGTTGCAGTCCTTTGTACAACATCTTATACCTCTACAAGCCAACCCATGACAGTCTTAATTCATATCCACTTCTGACATATGACCGATGGTTTGAATAACTTAGTCATCCAGAACAATGACCTAGTTATTCTGGAAGTGAAAACATGCAAAAATGAAACACAATAATAATTCAATCCAATATGGTATCAAAACCTATGAACATAAATAAAACACCTTTTATTTATCACCCTATGATTACACATTATTCATTGTATACTGTTTCAGCTATCAACTTTATTCTTGAATTAAAACACTAGTTGTCCCATGCTCCGAGCATGTACACTATGTTTTCTAAACACTAGTCATGCCGCATACCAAGTATGCATACTATGTGTGTCTACGATCTTTACTTTTTGAATTAGATCAATTGAACATAACTCCAATGATCCTCTTTTCATAGTCCCAAATCCTTACTGCAAATGTAAGAATTCCAAATTCATGCTATTTACCGAAATCTGTTAGATTCTAAACTTATATGAATTGATCCTCTTGTAATGATTATGCACAAATTCACAAAGACTTGGCAACAATCAT